TGGACTTCCAGACTTCCAACTTCAACCTGGACAACTGGTCCCTCACGTCCCGGTCGTACCTGGAGATGAGTGCTTCCTGGAGCTTGGAGAGCTCTCTGTCGAGGTCTTGGCGCTTGACGACCAGCGTTCTGCTTAGGTCGTCACTCCTCGTCTTCGACCTCTTGGCCCTCCTCTCCTCCACCTCCTTTATCAATTTTTCCTCCCATTCGGCATCAGAGTTCGCCTTGACTTCTTCCATTGACTCTTGGAATTCTTGGAATTCCGTCTCTGTGGCCTGCCTTTCGTTTTCCTGCTCGTCCTGGAGCTGGGCCTTGGAAATCGTATATTCCTAGAATTCAGAATAGAAGGAAACAGTATAATAGGTTTTTTTACAATAAAATCTTTGCTTAAAGAGTAGATGATAATTATGTTTTAAAGATCCGACCTCGCGGTTGCGCCTGTAGATCTCGTGGGCCACCTCGAGCCTGGTCTCCTGGAGCTTGGCAAGTTCGGCTTCCAAGAACTCGAGGGCAGCGGGATCCTCCGTCTCAGCTTGACCTCCTGCAAGCTGCCGAGATTTCAAAGAAAGCTTACGGGTTTTCAAAAATCGTTTTACATGTGGCTTATACATGACTTTGGATAATTCAAGCCTGGAAGGTCGCCTTCTGCTGTGGTGGCTGGGACTGAGGTCGCCGGGGTAGCGGGCGGAGCGGGCCTGAGATCATGACTCAAACTTAAGGGCTAATTTTGGGTGTTTCCACTGCTACTTGGGGGTGCTTCCGGCTAAAAGGGCTTCCAGCCCCTGACAGCTTCAATAGGGCTTCCAGCCCCTGACAGCTTCAATAGGGTTTCCAGCTCTTGACGGCTTCAATAGGGCTTCCAGCTCTTGACGGCTTCAATAGGGCTTCCAGCCCTTGACGGCTTCAATAGGGCTTCCAGCCCTTGACGGCTTCAATAGGGCTTCCAGCCCTTGACGGCTTCAATAGGCTTCCAGCCCTTGACGGCTTGAAGACAGCTAAAGGTTTTGAAGATTAAAAGGTCAAGTAAATTCAGTCAAGCTGCTCCTGGGCAGGTGCTTTCGCCGGCGGCTGCTTGGGAGGTGGCGACGTCTTGCCCTGGAGCTGGAGGCCCTTAGGAGGTGCAGGCAGTGGCTGTGGCCGCCTCCAGGGTGACAAGGGTCGACCCTGCTCATCCTGCCCATTGGAGGTCCAATTAATGTGGACCTCCTGGGATTGCTGGCTCCTGGATGAGCGGGGATCCTGGGGCTCCTGGCTGCTCCTTTTTATGCTCATTTCATCCAACTGTACCTCCAGCCAGTCGTCGATCGACTCGATTGTTCCTGATTGCTCAAATACCCGGTTAATGAACAACCTGATCGACTGGTCCTGGGGCATCTGGGTGTCGAACTTGAGGCTAAGGTGTTGCACCACATCGTTTTGCCAGTGGCCGAAGGTCTCGCCCTGGCCGCAGGGGTTTTCATTAAGTATATAGTTTTAGGGGATGGGGGCTTAGATAGGGACCGCAACAAGGGACACAAACATATAAAAAACAAATATATATATATATATATATATGTACATATTTTTATGTATATTTTTTGATATATATATATATATATATATATTATAATGTATGTATAAACTTTTGCTTGTTACTCCAAGGCCGGCCTCGTCCTTGTACTGGCTGTAAAGCGCCCTCCAGTTCTCTCGCCAGGCGCTTGAGTCTGAGTGCTTTCAAACATAGACATCAACGGTTTCGTTAAATCCTTAAAACAAATGCAAAACTTTGTTACATGCGTGCAAGTGTCCGGTGCCGCCTGGCTGACTGTTTCGCTGGGGGCCCTTTCCCATCGCGGGGATGGGTCCTCCTGGGCGCCCTCGAGGCTGCTGGCCGGCCATGGCTTGGACCGGCTTGACTTGGCAGCTCCTTGGCTGCCTGACTAAGTAACTCCTAAAGCTGCTTCTTGAGCTTGGGAGCTGCAGCGGCCGAAGATCGATCTCGCTTGGGAGCATTTGCCGCCGAAAAGGGCTGTCCAGCCCTTGAAACTTTACTTGCAGGCTCATGCAGCTGGAGGGTCGATGTGTTTTTCACTCATGCATACTGGCTTATGCAGTCGAGGCCACCGGGCTTCCAGCCCTGGCTTGGAACACTAAAAGACTTGAAACTAGGACTCCAAAAACTTAGCCTTCTCCTTGAAGGCCTCTGCCAAAGAGCCGCCCTCGGCGAGCTTCTTCTTCATCTTGGCAACCTGAAGCTTGGTCTTATCCCGACCATGCTTCCTGCACACGATCTGGAAAAGCTGCCTAGAACCGTCGACTCTCAATGCGACACTGTCGTGGTAGTGCATGATCTGCAGCTTGCCCCTTTCAGCCTCCGTCAACTCGGGCTTGTCCTTGTCCTTGGGGGCCTGATGATGGAGATTAAACATTCAGGGCTTCACTTAAATACATCTTCCTAGATAGAAATATATGCTTACGAACAACAAAAATTTTTTTCTAATGTTAAGATTAGAGGCCGGCTTCTTCTTCGGCTTGTCACTGTCCTTTTTCACAGGCTTAGCGGCTGCAGCTGGTTTCTTCAAAACCTCGCCCTCCCAAGACTTCCTGATTCGAGCCTTGCTGCCTGGCACGGGACTGCCTTCGGCTTCCTGGCTCAAACTCGTCTTGGCGGTCTTGGGAGTGTCTGGAAGCTCCAGATCCCTGGTCCGAATCTTTCGAAGCGGACTGCTCGCAGGGGCTAACGACCGTAGCTTTGGCGGCTTGGTCGCAGGGCTTGGCGTCCCTGTGCTCGGCCGCTTGGTGTTGTGGGTCTCCGCCTGCTGGAGCTTGGCTGGTGAGGCCGACACTTCTGGAAGAAGCAGCGCCCTGAGTTCCTCGAGATCCTTGATCTCGAACTGGGTCGCCTTGCTGCAAGCCTCCTTGAACCTGGTGTCGTTGCACAAGCGGCGAGCATGAGCCATGACGGTCAGCAGCATCTCGGCCGTGTCCCCAGCCCAAGCAGTTTGCTTGCTCAGCGGGGCCTGGTGGATGAGGTCCGGGTAGTCTTTGCTGACCTTGGCCAAGCACTCCTTCAAGTCCTTGTACTTGAAAGCCAAGCCGCTCTCCACCTCCTGGAGTTTCTTGAGCAAAACCGTCGCCTTTGAAAGCCCTTTGGCCTGGACAGCACTCGTCTTGGCTAGGTTGCCGTAGGGGTCGAAGTTGAAGGCGGCCTGGACACCTAGGAGCTTGACGTGTTTCTTGAACACGTCCAGCAAGTGCTCCTGGTCCACCTCCGGCTTGGCGAAGTTGCGTTCGCCGCCGCGGCCAGCAGCTGCGGGGCTGCCCATGGCTCTAAGAACCTGAGGACTTGCCTGGCGGCCTGCAGCACTTAAACCCGACAGACCTGCCTGGAGCTTGAAGCCCAGGACCTGGCTAGGCCTGCCTGAAGCATGCAGCGTACTATGAAAAAAAACTTCAGCTCAGGTCCTCTTCTCGCCAAGACAATTTTGCATGTCAAGCAGGGCTTGATCGATCTCGGCTTGAATTATACCCTGGCAGTAGCCTGCCCTGGATTAGCACTTGAATTAAGCCGCTTCTAACAAACGACCCCTTGAATCTTGGAAACTTGAGGCTTGTCCTGGAGCTCACCTCCCAGCCGCCTGGCACTGGTCAGATCCTCGGACCTGGCGCACGGGCGGCTCAATTTCAAAAAAATGTAGCGTCCACGTGCTCCATGATCCTCGCCCGCAACTCCTGGTCGCTCCAGGACTGGTGTACCTTAAGCCCCACCCGCACTGCTTCCGAAAGTAGTTGAGGCTTCGTCATTCCGCTCAAGGGGCCTGGGTTTGCTTGGAGAGCGATCAATGAAGCATCGTTGAGCAACAAGCGGATGTACCCGTGCTCCTTCATCTTCATGTGCTTCGTCGCCTCCGGCCAGCGCTCGGGGTCGATGTCCATATCATTCTCGATCTTGTACATGAGGTACTCCAAAAAGTTCAGGAAGCCCACTTCCTTGTCGACATCCCTTAGCTCTATATAAGTAAAAAATTAAATACATAGTCTATATACGGCATATGTATAAGTATATATATGTAGATATATATGTATATGTATATGTGTTCATGCCAAGAATCTCCAGCTGGTCTAGGTAACCTCTCCGCCACATCACGACCAAGGACCTCGCGACTTTGCCTGGAACCTTGGCGTGAAGCAGCTTGGCATAGGCCTGGACGACAATTTCATCATCGCCCTGCATCTTGACCTAGCCCAAAGTTCCTGGCAGCTTGGCTTGAAGACGGCTGCCATGCACGAGATTTGAAGCATGATTCCCCCCCTTCTTCCTTCTTAGGGCCGTCCGGCCCCTGGAAGCTTTGGTTGCAAGACGGCTGCCATGCACGAACCTGCCAAAAATGATTCCCCCGCCTTCTCCCTTCGTGGGGCCGTCCGGCCCACATCCCATCTCTTCTGTCTGTCTCCTCCGTCTCTCTGTCTCTCTGTCTCTCTGTCTCTCTGTCTCTCTCTCTCTCTCTCTCTCTCTCTCTCTCTCTCTCTCTCTCTCTCTCTCTCTCTCTCTCTCTCTCTCTCTCTCTCTCTCTCTCTCTCTCTCTTTGGTTAGCAAACTGGGGCCGCCCGGGCCGTCGTTTCAGCAAGCTGAAATCAATAGAAACATCCACCTCAAAATCAATAGAAAATCTCCATAAAATCAATAGAAACATCCACCTCAAAATCAATAGAAAATCTCCATAAAATCAATAGAAATTTTCCATAAAATCAATAGAAATTTTCCATAAAATCAATAGAAATTTTCCATAAAATCAATAGAAAGACCACGATTAAAATCAATAGAAGTCAACACTCAAAATCAATAGAAACACGTACCAACAAAAGTTCCAAACGATTGAAATTTCCTCAAATTCAATAGAAGTTTCGTGTGCCTCCAAAATCAAGCGGCCGATTGAAAAAAATCAAGCGGGCGTCCTCTGGGTAAGCGAGCCGTTGTGGAACGCACCGACCGCCCCTGGGAGAAAGGAGTGCAGAAAGATCATGGCCCAGTTGCACAAGAAGGCCCCCGACGTCGTCCTGTTGTCGCCGCCGGTAGGACCTTTTTCGTCATGGACTCAGGCGTCTTCGAAGGAGTTGCGTGAGGCCAAGGCTCGTTACTGGCCAATGTGGGAAATGATCGTGGATGTGTGGAAACAACAGACCGCACGAGGGCGTCTGGTACATCTCCAGCTACCCCACGGCGCCACCGTTCCAGACTCAGCCGAGCTCCGGGCCATGAAGATCAATTACGAGAAGCTCACCTACGGCCAGGAGACTGACGAGTCGACGGAGTGGCCTGACCTTCATCGAGATCCCACCTGTATGGCCTATGTGGACCTGTGTATGCTCGGGCATTGCGACCCCGAGACCGGAAAATACTTCAAGAAAGGGGTCCAAGTGGAGACCAACCACCCGGTGTGGAGTTCTATGTTGGGGTCGCCACCGAGATGTCAACACCCTCCGGGACAACATCAGGAGGTTAAGGGGTTCGCGGTGGAGAAGGGCGGCCAACTGGTGAGCAGGTCGTCTGTGGCAGCCAAATGGCCTGAACCTTGGTGCGCCTTGGTTCTGAATTCTGCGAACCAGGTGTTGGAAGTTCGGCGAGCCTTACCACCAAATTTGGCTCTTCATCAGGAATGCCCAGGTGATGTGGAATGGGAAGCCGTCCCGGTGGAGACGGAAACCTCACCAGAGGGCCTCTTGCGACAGAGACTTGGTGAAGTGACCGGCGACCAGTACGACTACATCTACTTCGAGGGCGGCAGCGGGTCCTTGTCAAAACCGTTAAGGAGCACCCTGGCAAAGTTGCATGTGGTGTTGGGACATGTTTCAAATGCCAAATTAAAGCGGATGCTCCATCTGAATGGGGCCAAGGACCACATCTTGGACGCGGCCGGGGACCTCCGTTGCCAAATTTGTCAGTCGGTCGTCCCGCCACGACCCACACCCAAGGCGGCCTATGATAGGCCTACGCGCTTCAATGAGAGGGTCGTGGTGGATGTGTTCTATGTTTGGGACGCTGGCAAGGCCAAGTATGCGGTGGTTCACGCGGTGGATGCTTTTGCCCTGTACCAGGTCGCTACATTGATGCATACGGCAAGGGCAGACCTGGTGGCGCACTTCTTGAAGAACTACTGGGTCGGTGTGTTTGGCCCGCCAGAAGTGCTTATGAGCGACGGAGGCAGCGAGTTTGCAGCCGAGACTGAAGGTCTTCTGAGGGCCTATGATGTTTTCCATGAATTGGTCCCTCCTGCGGCGAAGTGGCGCATGGGACTGGCCGAACGGCACGGTGCCATCCTCAAGCTCCTCATTATGAAGACCATACAAGCTACCACCGCCAAGGGCTACAGCGAGACTAAGGAATGTGTGATGGCGGCCACATCGGCGAGAAATCGCCAGATGAGAGTGGGAGGATTCTCCCCGACCCAGATCGTGCTGGGCAAGGATGTGGCCATCCCGTCATCATTGCTGAGTCAGCTCGAGAAAGGCCACTTCAAATACGTCCTGAACCAGGACCTGGCCTTTGCGGATGCAAGAAGGAGGAACGAACAGATCCGTCAAGCAGCCGAGCAGGCCTTCATATGGGCTGATTCAAGCGAGACTTTGAGACGGGCAATCAACTCCCGGTCCCGACATCCTCGTTTGGAGATGCTCTACGAAGGGGCGACCGTCTACTTCTACGACCCGCCGACATCAAGGAAGGGCCTCCCCAAAAGGTTGCAAGATCAAGACGCGTGGTCTGGCCCCGGAGTGGTTGCTGCCATCGAGAGGCGGGAAGGTGCCATTAAGCGCGTGTGGATTCGGTACCGGAACAAGTTGAAGGGCCTCCCGCTTGAATATGTTAGACTTGCAGCTCTGGAAGAGGTGGAAGCCTCAAAGGTTTGCCGGGAAGCTCTACAGGAGGTGGAAAAGGAACTGCAAGGTTCTCGCCCGGACATCGAGGAAATGGCCGATCCTGAAATTGAGGAGCCGGGGTTGCCGTTGATGGAATTTAGTGGTGATGAAGAGGAGGAGGAAGAGGACCTCACACTTCGTGAACCCGCGGCCTCCTCTCTGGATGATGTACCGGCTCAACTTCATCGCGATGCCGGCCGAGAAATGACCAGACAACGTGATGCACAACCACCTCGAAAGAAGGTTCGCTTCGAGGAAGCGAAGGAACGCACTGAACAACATCTGAGAAGGATGAAAGCGGTGCTAGAACGAGCGGGCGGACCGGACCGGGGCACATCTTCTACGGCGGCCACTGTGGCCTCTTCAGCCAGTGGGCGCTCACAGCCCTACCCAACGCCGACGAGGAGCTCTACGCCTGACATCGCGAGTCATCGAGGGCGAGGCGTGCTACATACAAGCGAAGTGTGGCACTTGGAGGAAGCGATACGAGAACATCGCCTCATGTTGCAAGCGGCACGTTGGGATGTTCATGCAGCGGAAGCTGAAAGGATTACTGAGGAGTTAGCCAACAGTGTCCTCGAGAAGACGGCCGAGATCGACGAGGGGGAGGCTAATGCCATTTACGTCACGGAGGAGTTAGCCAACAGTGTCATCGAGAAGACGGCCGAGATCGACGAGGGGAAGGTCCAGGCGCCGATCACCGGTAAGCCACGTCTAGAGTTCAAGTGGAATAAGCTCGATGACAGCTGGAGAAGAGCTTTTGTTCAACCGCTTAAGGATGCACTGGACGTCTACATCGACAACTGTGCGGTGGAAGGAGTTCCCATGGGACAAATGGTCTCGCCAGATCACATCTTGCCCTCCAGGTTTGTTCTCACGAACAAGAACGAGGAGAAGTCTGTGGAAAAGGCGAAGCTGAAGGCAAGATGGGTCTTGGCTGGCCATTTGGACAAGGAGGCCGGAAGATACGCTACTGAAGCACCTACGGCGAGCTTGGTGGCACACAACCTCATATGCTACATCAGTGCGCAATGTGGCTGGGCCCTGAAGTATGCGGACATTTCGGCTGCCTTCTTACAAGGAGAAGAACTTTGTGATGAGCGAGTCGTCTACATTAGGCTGCCGAAGGGCTATCCAGATGAGGTCACCAAGCACTTGATGAAGCGACTGGGGCGGAAGACTCCTGGAGGGATCCGAGCGGATCTAGTGCGCCTCACCAAGGGAGGATTTGGCCTCTCGGAGTCGCCGAGGTTATGGTACCTCCGACTACGCCGCGGTTTGCTTGAATTGGGACTGAGAGAGCTTAAGCTTTCCCCAGGTACCTTCGTGTTCCATTGGAACGGGAGCCTGAAGGGCATCATCGCAGTGCATGTCGATGACTTGAGGATTGCGTTCCACCCAAAGTTCGAGTATATCCTCCAGGAGTTGCGCAAGACCTTCTCGTTCGGAGAGTGGAAGACGGCCTTGAATGAGACCGTGAAGTTCTGTGGCCGGTGGGAACGACAATGCCCAACCTCCTTCAAGGTCACCGTGACGATGGACGGCTATGCTCCCAAGCTACAAGACCCGCCCCAGAGAAAGGCCGGAGATCGTTCTCCTCTGACTGATGCAGAGAAGAAGTGGGTGGCCTCAGTGGGAGGCCAAATCAACTGGATGGCCAGGCAGGGACGGGCAGACCTGGCATTTGGCATTTCGAAGGTGCAGCAGATGGCTGGTGCTCGTGACCCGGAGACCTTGAAGGCCTTGCTTGCGCTTGTTAAGAAGGCCCGGGACCCTTACGAATGCATCTTCCAGGCCATGCCCGGTGGTTTCGACCAGATGATCTTCCTGGCAGTGAGTGATGCTTCTCATGCTGCCATGCCGAAGGGGAGATCACAAGGGGGGCTGATGATCCTGCTTGCACCGGAGGAGATCCTCGATGGTGATGCTTTGGTTAACTGCGTGATGTACCACAGCGCGGTGCTGAAGCGGGTGGTTCGCAGTAGCCTGGCAGCTGAGATTTCTCAGGCTGCGGAGGCCTTGGAGCAGTGCGACTTTGTTCGAACAATGATGGCCGAGATCCTCGACGGCAAGTTCGCACTGGCTCAATGGCGCTGGAGTGCAAGCAGGTGGAAAGAAATCTTGGTCTTGGATTCCAAGACCGGCTACGATGTCCTGAACAGCATCAGCCATGGAGAGGATAAGCGATTGGCCATCGACATCGCCATCTTGAAGGAATCGCTCTACGAGCCGGAGAGCAACCGCTGGGTCCGATGGGTGCCAGGAGTGACGATGCCTTCCGATGGCCTGACAAAGGAGTACGGCAACCACATGCGTGATGCTGTTATGAAGGGCGGACCGTGGAGCCTTTGTGACTCGCCCCAAGCGCAAAAGCTTCGTGAAGAAGCTGGGCACCGCAAAAGGCAGTGCCGTGATCGCGCTCGTCAAAGGGAGCACGAGATTGAACAGCTTCGGCAGGCAGCGGACACATCAGCTCCAATGGGGGTTGGTGTGAAAGCTGACATTTAAACCAGCCGATGTGTCAACAATGCCGCCGAAGGATGGCTCACAGATCCGCGTGCAGGAAGAAAGGTCCGTCGAGGCCGGCAGCTGTTTTTCGGTCGTTAGGGTTTTCTTGTCTAAACACTCACCCCCAAAACCGAAGCCCTAGTCTTGGCTCTACATTTCTAAGAAGGGTCGGAGTGCGATAGGTCCAGATACGCTGAAGCCGTGGCCCCGGGAAACGGAGTGGAGGGGCCCAGATTCAAGGTTTGTTTTGAGCTTAAGATGGGGGCCTTCAGAATTTTAGGGTTTAGGGTTTAGGGTGGGGACCTACAGAATGGGATGGCAAAGTACTTTTGAATGTAAAACGTCGATGTAGGGACTACATGGGGCGGAGGGTTGCCAAGTCCTGAGATTGTTTAGATTTACTTGAAGGGTTTGTCCCTATCAAATACTGTGGGACAACACCCTGAACCCTAAACCCTAAAACATCCCTAGACCATAATAACCTTCATCCGAAGTGGTTATTCTGAGAGCTGAGGCCACACACCTACTGGGGAGGCAGCTTTCCAGAGGCACCCATGCGAGTCCTAAGGATTTAGGTTTAGGGGGGGGGGGTTGTGCTGTTGTGCTGTTGGGATCTAAGGCTTTCGGGCTTCAGGATTTAGGTTTGGGGGTTTAGGGCTTCGGGCTTGTAGGGTTAAGGGCTTTAGGGTTTCCGTTTTAGGGCTTCGCGCTTTGGGGTTAAGGGTTTATGGTTGCTACCAAACCTCCTCTTCCCTTGCGACAGCGACGGCTGTTGCTGCTGGTACGAGCATGTTTATAGCACCAACATGGAGGGGACAGTGTGAGGGCTACAGGACTACAGAAGGAGCGCTGCTTCAGCAAAACTGTTTTGCAAAGTGATGGAGGGCGATCCCTTCACCGTGAAACCCTTGTAAATTTACTCGCAGCTTCCAGAGCCCCTCGAAAGCGCGAAAAAACCTGCACGCCCCTAAACCCTGAACCCTAAGCCCCAAAGCCCCAACACCCAAAACATATACTCGCATCTTCCTCGTATCAGTCGTCAGAGCAGTAAACCTGAGTAGCGGAGAAGGCCGTTGACCGTTAATCTTTCATTCGGGTTTCGGGTTAGACTCGGATGGTGCTCCCTAAACCCTAAACCCTAAACCCTAAAACCCTAAACCCTAAAAAAAAACCTAAACATAAACTTCAGCTCCTCTACCTTAAGGCTCCATAGTAGTTCCTTTTGGGGGTTCAGATTCGGAATCCTATAGGATACTCCCAAAAAGGAACTGCTATGGAGCCTCTGGGTAAAGATTTAGAAGCATGAAGCACGTAGAAAATTAATCATACGATACTACCGTCATGGCTTAGGGGCTATCGCCGGGAAGAGGTCGTAGCTTCGAGATGGTGATGGTACTTGAAATCCATTGCTTATCAGTCTCTAAACCCTAAAGCCCTAAGCCCTGAACCCTCAACCCTAGACACTATGCTCACTGACCCCCAAACGCCGAACCCTGCGGTTGATGATATAAATCCTGCATCACCCATAATAATTAGGGTCCTTAAGGTAATGCAGAATTAACCCTAAACCCTAAACCCTAACCCCTAAACCCCTAAACCCTAAACCCTAACCCGTAAACCCCTAAACCCTAAACCCTAAACCCCTAAACCCTAAACCCTAACCCCTAAACCCTAAACCCTAAGACACCGAAGCCCAAGCTCTGCGGACGAAGGCACGTCTCCTCCACTGCCGAACGCGGCGTGGCCTCAGGCCCACTCTCAAACAGAGGCTAGGATCTCCAGTAGTACCCTTATTCCCTTTTTGTAGTCCTAGGTTCCTTATAAAGTTACCCAACACCAAAAAGAGAGGCCTTTTTATTCTTAGGTTACTGGGTATCCTAGGAGGGGGTTTCAGAGTTTAGGGTTTAGGGGGTTTAGGGTTTAGAGGGTTTTAGGGTTTAGGGTTGAGGGGGTTTATGGTTTAGGGGGTTTAGGGTTTAGGGGGTTTAGGGTTTAGGGGGTTTAGGGTTCAGGGGTTTTAGGGTTTAGAGGGTTTAGGGCTTATAAGGGCCTATTTTAAGGTGTGGGGTCTGGGTTCAGTGCTTGGGGTTTTCAGGCATTCAAGCTTAACCCGAAATCTCCTAAAACCTACCTATAGTCTCCATTGTAGTTCCTTTTTGGGGTTACCTTATAGCATCCTTACTATATAATTGTTTAAACCAAAAAAGGAACTACAATGGAGACTATAAGTAAACCCTAAACCCCAAACCCCTAGAGATCCCTTATGAACCTCTATAGTATAGATCCCTTAAAAGCAACCCTAACCAATAGGTTAGGTAGCGAAGGACAGGATTTAGGGTTGACTTGAGACAGTCGGGCCTCAGTTCCAAAGCCCTCGGGCCAAAGGCCCTAATTGGGTTTGGGCTTTCGGGTTTTAGGGTCTAGGGTTTTAGGGTTTAGGGTTTTAGGGTTCAGGGTTTTTGGGTTTGGGCTTTAGGTTTTAGGGTTTTAGGGTCTAGGGTTTGGAAGTTTTAGGGTTTTAGGGTTCTTGGGTTTGGGGTTTAGGGTTTAAGGGGGTCTTCCGTATTTCGGATGCCCAAAGCCGAGTACCGGAACTCCTAAACCCGAAAATCTGCATCTCCAAAGCCAGACAACGGCCCTGAACTTACATCATTCTTGGGATTCCCCTCGTTGGTGGTATCCGGTTGGTTCGAAGGCAGGGCAGTATGGTTCCACATTTTGGATATCGGGTTTGTTCAGAGAACCTCTGGGCTCTGACCGTATGGTCACGTGTCTCGCGCCCAACGAACAAAAATTCAAATTCTGAAAACATATGGGTGGGTGTCATATTTATGGTCCCTTTTGGGGTCCTAATATTATGCGGCACCTAATTGTTAGGGTACCCACAAAGGGACCCTAATTTTTACAAAACTACCCACATCACAGCAGAAATTTCAGACCCCCAACCCCAGATCGAAACCCTCCACCAGTGTTTCGCAAAGAAGGCCGAAAGGGGTTTTGGCCCAATTGGGGTTTAGTAGGGACATGGGGTCCCATAATAGGGTTCATATTAAGGAATCCCTACCCCAAGAATCTTAAGCGCCCTTTTGGCCTCCCATCAGTTTCGCAAAGAAGGTTTTCGCCTAAACCCTAAACCCTAAACCCTAAACCCAAAGAAGGTGATGGGATCAAGTCATCGCAGACTACGAGGCAGATCTTCTGGGATGCACGGAGAGTTTTCGCTTCTGGATTAAAAGCGTGCCCAAAGGGTCCATAGTACCTGTATAGTAGAATGTAGGGTTTCTATATTGGGAATTACTATCATGATTTGGGGAAGTATTCCCCAAAACAGTACCTGGGGCCCTTGGGGATAGGATTGATTGTACAGTGGTAATGCCAATATCAACGTCTTAAGAAGTACTACCTTATGTTCTTTATGTGTTTGAAGATGATGCTGGTTGCTTACGGGTCGCACATGCTGCTTCCACAACTTCGGGGATGAGGGCTTGGGCCATTGCCATTTCTTGAGGATCCTTCTATTTGTTGTTTGTACCTGCGTCTCCTCTTTTCTGAAGATACCAAATGGGGTTGTATAATAACCCCGCGTGGTCGATTTATGTAAGCACTTGCCCGCAGTGTTCGCGACGATGCGTTTGACTTGCAAAACGACAAGGAGGAAAAAACGATAACGTCATTTTGTACAACAAGCGAGCACAATCCAGCCAGGAGCCGAAACGAGGCATGCGAGCACAATCCAGCCAGGAGCCGAAACGAGGCATTTCCAGTACTAAAGTTGTACTACAAGCGAGCACAATCCAGCCAGGAGCCGAAGCGCGGTAATTTCAGTTCTAAAGTTGTACTACAAGCGGGCACAATCCAGCTACTACTACTACTACTACTACTACTACTACTACTACTACTACTACTACTACTACTACTACTACTACTGCTACTGCTACTGCTACTGCTACTGCTACTGCTACTGCTACTGCTACTGCTACTGCTACTGCTACTGCTACTGCTGCTACTACTACTACTACTACCAGTACTACGGCTACTATTGCAACTATGAAGTGCCACCAAATACTGTAAAACGATAAGGAGGAAAATAAAACGATAACGACAAAATGGATGAATAGATTTAAAACGGGGTTGTTTTACAACCCCAAATGGGTCTAGCTGAGTGTTTCGACTTTTCTGTTCAGGCTTCCCGAGCGGTAACAACAGAGAGCTACCTACGCACACACACACACACAAACACACACACACACACAGGCAGACACACAGACACACACACACACACGCACACACATACACACACGACACACAAGCAAAGAAAGTAGCTAAGGGGCTAGTTAGCTAGCTAGCCTAGCTTAGCTTAGTTTAGCGGAGCGTAGCGTAACTTAACTAACTAACTTGCCAAACTCAGGTCTCTCTTAGAGACTGAGCGCAGCGTGCTAATTACCTGTACCCAGAGACTCCAACACCCCTCATCTAAGGACTACGCTTTACATTTACGTCTTTGCATGCTCTTTCGAGTGGTTTGGTGGTGAATCCCCTAGTAACTTCCCCTTTGCCCGTCAACTAAAGGGAGACTGGCAGACGCAAAAGAGGTCTCAAAAACCTAAACACTAGCCCCGAACTCCTGACTAATCCTTACACACCTAAAATCCTAAACCGCTACAGCCCTGAACCCAAACCTACTTTTAGAAACCCTTGTATTGACTTATATTGACCCCGTATCGTAATCCTAAGCCTTGAATCCTAAATCCTAAGATCCCTGAAACCCCAAACCTTAAACCCTAAGCCTTTAGCATCCTTGAGCCCTAAAGCCTATAAAACTGAAACACTCATCCCCAAACCCTAAACTCTAAGTCCTGATCCCTAAACCCTAAACCCTGCCTTAACCCCAAATAACCTACCTTTTTAAGGACTTATATAAAGAATTCAAATTGGGGAACCTCAAAAAAGGTAGGTTATTTGGGGTCCAGGTGAGCCCTGAGCAAGCAAGTGACAGGATC